TTTAGCGACCGAGTAATTTTTGTGTGCATTCTGTCCGTACCCATTTCGGTCATCAATTGTAAAAATAGCATGTCTGTCATGTATTTAAGTCACTGACGTTTGTAGGATTGTTTTGAAGTCGGTTCTTTTTTTCGGGTCTAATCCAGATTTTGGGACCGATTGACAACTAAACGGAAGTTTACGGTTCTGTGCAAATGGTGAAGGTTCGCGTCATCTACTCTCAGGAGACAATTTTTTTACGAAAGACGACTACGTTTTAATTTGAACCCCATTCCCATATAAATTTACTGGTCCGACGAGAATTTATCGAATGCCTATGTACCCTCAACAACTACTCTTCTGATCTTTTATACTGTTGGGATCTTTTACTTGTGACTTACTGTTGTCAAATAATAATCTATGAAGAAAAGGCTATTATGATCCATCAGGTCAGGGAAGTAATTATCATATAATATTTAAAGTATGAGGTAACCGACACCGTACGTGATCTACTTGCTTTAGAGTTCCGACATTTATCAAACACTGCTAATTATCCACCCGCTCTAAGCGAATTCAAACAACAATAAAAAAATACTTAAAGTAATTTTATATTGTGCAGAAATACCCAGTTCACAGGAAATATAAAAATTCTGAGAATTTTAAACATTGCAGTAAGGTAGTCAAGATAGGCGAACGAACATTTTCGATTAATTCATCATCAGGCATGTACAATTAGTAAAATGTTAAGCAACCAATCAGCTAACTCAACCCCCTGTATATTATTGTACATGCCTGATGATGAATTGATCGAAAACGTTCGTTCGCCTATCTTGCCTTCCTGAATGCTTACATGGGTATCATCGCTGAACATCTCAGTACCTGAGCAGGGTAAAGTTTTAAATTCCTAGAAAACCTGTCTGCGCAAACAGAAGAGATAAAGATAACAGCGCAAGTAGAATGACGTTTAAAATAGTCATCTAAATGAAATTTGAACTGTAATGTCCTTCAAACAGGGCTGTACTTATAAACTTGGTCATCAATAAACACAGTTTAGTGAAGGACAATAAGGGTTTGGCCGTCGATTCGGACGCTTCGCCGTTCTCCACGCCGTAGCAGTGTACGGATGGTGACTTGCGCATGAATTATGTCCTAATGGTAGCAGAATTGCGTTCCATCTACTTCAGTCTCTCTTCTTTTACCTGCCTTTACCTGATTTTGAAACAGAGTCCAGAAAACTGGATGTAGGTTCAGGCGCACACATACAAACATACTCCAATAGTCTTGATGGTACATGCACACATACATACATATACTCCAATAGTCTTGATGGTACATGCAATAATCTTCCAAAGGCTAAAAGACAAAATAAGTGAATAGGCAGCCCTAAAACCACTATAAGCGCGAAAACCAAAAAACTTCCCTGATACTACTAATACCACTCGCCGAGCTGCAACCGTTCACTTTATAAGCACATGTTACAAGCCCTCCAGTCGTGCCGTTGTCCCTTTTTAAGACCAACTGTAAATGCCTTAGAAGGCTGTATCGCTGTGTTTTTTCGCCAACATTTTCAGCTTGTCTCCGTCGCAAACTCCAGCGCGGGACTACAAGCTTTTCCGCTTCCCTCTCCCTGGCAAGTCAAAGTGGGCGACCGCCTGGGAATGTGGGCGCCGCGTTCGATGTACCTTGACTGCACCATTAAGACAAAGTACGCACCTGCCGACTTCATTGTCCTCAATGACGTGGATATCAGCGTTGGAGAGCGGTTGACCAAGTTTCACCGACAAGCAGACAAACGTTTCCTGGTAGGTGCACTTGTCCCCTTTTTCTCCCTACCTGATATTTTTTTAAGCAGATTGGTGTTTATTATGAAGAAATATTTCGTATTTCTCCAATTTAACCATCCTTGCTCTCATGAGACCTCGATAGATGAAGGAGGAGGAGGAAGAAGAGGTTGATTTCGTTAAAATCAGATATCAAGTTTACATGTTTCATTTATTAAGACCTGCTTTAAACTTAAGTAATTGAATAACAGTATGACATAGCATGTATTCGGCAGGGATGCGTTCTTATGATAACGTCAGTAGGCAACGGCGTTTTAGAGTTTAGGAAGTTTTTTTTTTCTTTTTTAAATAGGTTTTCGAAATAACTTACCATTGTCAAAAAAGTAAGCGACCAGTAAAGACCCGTTAAAAAGACAAGCCTCTTGCATTATGAAAGAACTTAACGAAGGTAAACACATTTTCGGCTTGTTTGTGACAGATATACACTGTCTCAGTTATTGATATTATAGACGTGTAAATATTAGGACAAAGGGGCGTTTACCGAAACGAGTTAGGGGACGACAGCCGAAAATCATTAATGGGCCAGAAAAATTAACTCAGTTTGTATGTGTGTTAAGAAGTACAAGCCTCTTTATTCCTGAGACTGATGGATGCTATGCGACTTCCTGCAAAGTCCCGACATAGAGTAACAAGGCAAAGCGGGACGAGCGTGACCCACAACCAAACTGGCGAACACCCTCCCGCAATATGTAGACAGGAATAGAGAAGCGAAAAAGCCAATAGATTTTAGGATACCCCTTTGCTAGCTAATTGGTCGTCATCAGCAAGTGGAGGCTCGAGTGAGAGCTCTAATGGCAACATCAACGGACGACTGTGTCCTCCAACAGATCGGTGTACGCATATATGCCACTGTATATCCCCGGTCTAATACCACCAAGACCGTGAGCTCGTAGCTCAACTGCTAGAACGTTCACCCTGACAGGAGAGATCGTGAGTACAAATCTCGGTGTGGCAGCAAGTTCAGCGGCCACACTGGGGTTGGGTATCAC